ATAACAATATACAATTAAGAAGAGTGCACTATTATAACCTGTGCAAGGCTAAAAAATTATATACTAAATTGTAACTTTTAATATATCTCTACTATAAAGCTTTACCTTAATATTTAGAGTTCTTTTTAGACATGTGACTGATATCAGATATCTTCTAGATTGGGCATTGGGTCCATCTAATATTATAGCTCTGTACTTAGTATATCTTAATTAGATAAATATAACTAATGCTAATTTTTTGGAGAGAGTAAGCTGTTTTATCTACTTTTTGTCAAAAATTTTGAAAGGCTGAAAAGTGGTAGAAAAGTGGAAAAAAAAAACTACTTGTATAAAGATTTTAGATATTAAAGAGGGTTGTTTCACTAGCAAAAAATTTAATATATTTAACTTGGAGCCAGGTGCTTCTTGTTTGATAAGTGATAAACTCTAAACCTGTTAGCAAGTAGTATATGAGAGCTACTTCTAAACAACAAGTAACATCCTCATAGTAAGTAATAAACTCTGAGACTATCAGCAGGTAATGCATGAGAACTATCTTTAAACAATAAGTGCTGTCTTATGGTTTGACTTTAAAACTCAATTTTATCTTATTATATACTAGCTTTTTTGTTTTTTATAAGTTAGTTTTTTCTAAAATTTTGATACCAAGTAATTGTCAGAAAGAGTTATCTCTCAAAACCTTTTGATATTATTTTTGAAATGCAAGAAATTATAGATTAAGAATTGCATATTTATATTTCTGAAATTCTTAATCTATTGTATTGTTATATTAGTAGTATATTAGTATTTTATTAGTAATTTTAAAATTTTTATTAAATAACTTTATGTAATTTCTAATTGTAGTACAAATCTAATTTCACCAATAGAATCCCTAATATCAATTTTCTTAGTTTAGTTTTTACTGCTTGTTAATTGGATTAATAGTTAACAAGTTATTTAAATTTAAAGGTATATAACTATAATAGATAGAAGGTGATGAATAACAATTTGTCACCCCCGTGACACAGACCTATTGACAAGTCCCATTGACAAGTCTCTTTGGTAAGTCCCTTTAATGTATTTTGTTAATACAATAACACAATAGTACAAACTATAATTAGTAATTATATAGAGTTTTGAAAGATATATGAACCCTGCCTTTTTACCCAAGGTAAGATAGGTTCTAACTTTTATTTTCCCAACCTTTTCCTAATAAATAAATATTATACCCTTGACTATATACCTACTATGTATAAAAAGCTATGGAAAACACATCAGAGTGGCTTGAAACGTTATATCCGATGGGCATATTAATTACATCGACTATAATAAGTTTACAAACCCAATTTTGATTGGCTTTGGAGGTTTTGGAAAGTTTACAAATATGAGTGGAGAGACGGTTGCTCTTAAATGTCTTAGAGTCGATAAAAGTGTTGATGAAAAAACAATTAAAGACTTTATTAAAGAAGTAATATTTACTATATTAAAGCTTTAATTATATCCTACTATAGAATAATAAATACTTATTAATTCGTATATTTAGCTTAAATTATTACGATGAATTTCTTGTCAACAAAGGTTATTACATTCTTTGGTATCACAAAAGGTAAACAAACGATTTATAATTTTTTGAGGGCATCAAGTAGTAATCATGCTAAACAAAAATTTACTAAAAATATATAGATAACAACGGATATTATAATATGGACTTACAATACGCTAGTGAATGAACTTTACGTGAATACTTAAAGACAAATTTTATGAGATTACAATGGACAGATAAACTATATATTGCTAAGGAAATAGCACTTGGACTTTTGTTCTTACATGATAATAATATTATTCATAGAGATCTTGCAAGTAGTGTAAATTTATCTGATTTTATATTTACTTTATTAATTTATTAATGTTTTTAATCACTAATAGTTTTAATATTTTAGTATTCGAAAAATATCTTAATTATAAAGACAACCAAAAGATTGCAGATTTTGGATTATCAAAACAGATGAATGAAATGACTTCTAATTCAATCGTTCATGGAATGCCGGCATTTATCGAACCAAAATGCTTTATCGAACCTAAAATATAAACGCGATAAAAAATCCGACATCTACATTTTTGGACTAATCCTCTGGGAAATTTCAAGCGGAAGATCACCAGTATCCTTGAATTTGAGAAAAGAAACATACGAATATTTTGAGCAAGGCAAATTTCTGAAATCATTAGAACTTTTTGAAGAAATTCTTAGAAACAACAAATATAGCCCTGAAGATCAAAAAAGCGCTTCAATCTGAGATTTTTCATTTAATAAATGTAGAGTGATAAGTTAATAAAGGCTCTTCGCAAGTAAACCACGCTGACTTCTTTGAATCTTCGATCTAATGATCTTGGATCAAAAGGAGGAAAAGCATTAGCAGATGCACTTTGCAAGAACAACACGCTGAAAAATTTGAATCTTGGTTTGAATAATCTTGGATCAGAAGGAGGAAAAGTATTAGCAGATGTACTTTACAAGAACACCACCTTAACATCTTTGGATCTTAGTTATAATGAACTTGGATCAGAAGGGGAAAAGCATTAGCAGATGCACTTTGTAAAAATAACACGCTGAAAGATTTGAATCTTCAAGAGAATAAACTTAGATCAGAAGGAGGAATAGCATTAGCAGGTGTACTTTGCAAGAACACCACACTGACCTCTTTGAATCTTGTATCGAATGAACTTGAATTAGAAAGAGGAAAAGCATTAGCAGATGCATTCTGCAAGAACAATTCCCTGAAAGATGTAGATATTTGTTGGAATAATATCGATTTTGAAATAAAAACACAATCCAAAATTAGAATATTGCAATAAAATTAGAATAAATTAGAAGTAAATCCAATTAATTAATTATATTTAAATTTGTAATTGTAATTTACTTAAAAATTGTAATTATTGTAACATGTCTAAATAAATAAATCAAATATGATATAGACAATTTATAAATGATTAATATATCAAATTTATTAATTTCATAATTCGAACCTAAAATGTATACAGTCAGTTACCCTTCTGTCTAGAGAGTCATCAGATACATAACTTATAGTAATATAACTAAAGTAGTACTTAATAAATAAAGGATATAATATATATATTTTACAAAATCTATTTATATGAAATTTTTAAACCTTTTAACAATTTGCATTATTTATTAAATTTTAATTTTTTGTTATTGTTGAGATCTTTGAACTATAAATTTAAAATAAAAATAGCATAGGTATTTTAATCATACTCTAAATGTTGTGGCAAAATAAATTGTTCATAATCATCATTATTGTCATCATTATTGTCATAATTATTGTCATCATATTTAATAGTCTTAATTTTTTCTACATATAAGAAGTAATAATGGAGGTATATAAGTACTATTGTTATAAGCAGTAAACAAATAAAAATAATAAAATACCTGTGTCAATATGTTTAGGAGCTTGAAAGATATTTGTTGTATGAGTGGATTTCAAGTCAAAATTAATATTTAATTCTGACGTAAAAAATTCATTTTTAAAAATTTTTTTTAAATTCTCCTTAGAGAAAATATAAAGTTCTGATGCACTACGCCTATTAGAAATATTAGAGTCCCAACATCTTTTCATCATTTTTTCATAATCAGAATTTAATTCAAACTTAACGATAGGACGATGACCCTTATAAACAACATCAATTGCAAGTTGGATTTCATTATTATATTTTTCATCTTCATATGGATTGCATTTGGTTATAAGTTGCCACATTATGATCCCTATACTATATATATCAGCGGCTGATGTATAATTTTTTTCAAGTAAAACCTCAGGAGCTATGTATGGTAACACACCAATAATTTCCGAGCTTTTATTAGCAGGTTCACTAAATCCAAAATCACAAATTTTCCATACACCATTACTGAACAAAATATTACCAGGATGAAGATCTTTATGAATCATATTACGTTTGTGTATTTCATAAAGTCCGCGAGAAATATCATTTAAAAAAGTAAATACTTCCCTCCAAGTATGAGTAATATCAATGTTATTTATAAAAGATTTTAAATCACCATCATCTTGACGCTCCAAAACCATCATAAATTTGCCATTTTCAGGATCTTTAGTTAACCCATAACATGAAATAAGGTTTTCAACTTCTATCGTAAGAGTGATATGAATTAATACCTAAAAATAAATTTTAAAAAAAATATTAGTATGATTGGAAATTTTCGATTACAATATGATAATAATTTATTTACTTCTTTGAGAAAGTTTTCGTATTCATTATTAGAAGCCAATAGACTTTTTAATGCAACTTTTGTGGATTGATTATCTCTTATAAACTTTTTATTATAGTAGTCCCAATTAGAAATAGTGCCTTTCAAGGTAGCAAAATAGATAGCACCAGCCCCGCCTACTGCTTTTTTTACAACATACTCAAAGTTTTCATAAGGAAACCATTCAATAATTTTAGTTGGGTCATGAGAATATGAAATTTGGAAATATTTTATTATTGTATCAATAATCTTATCTTCAGAACTCCAATTAACAAAGTTATTTATTAAGTACTGTTGAATACAATTGGCGCAAGAATAGCTCGCAAACAATTTTGACTGACAGTGAATACACAAAGCATTTAATTCATGATTATCATTGATTGTTGTTAGTTGTTGTTTTTCTTGTGGGTAAAGTTGCTCGTTATCTTGGATAAAATTTTGAGCATTAATATAAAAGTTGCTATCATTTTCAAAAATGATATTCATTTCACGAATTATATTCACGAAAAGACCTGCACGAATCCTGGAATCCATGGTCTATAAAAAATAGCTGAGAACGTTAAAATTTTACGCACATATCTTATTTTATAGATCATTCTAAGTTACACACAATATATAAAGATTAATTTGTGTTACATATACTAGTAATGATACACTTAATAAGTACGTACGTACGTACTCAGTAAATACATCCCTTCTTCATCTGTCATTTAACACAATGGATTGGCTTCATTCGTTTCACAATTGGTCAAAGGTAAGCATTAAAAAAATATTCTGTAAAATTTGTTATGATGAATACAAAAAGTTCATAAATAAATTGAAAAGTTTTCTGTATTATTGGATTTAATTTCTACGCAATATATATTGACATGGTCATATTTTAGTTAGTTAATTCCCAAGACCTAACTACGCCGATGAAAAATTATTTAAGAAATGATCCTTTAGAAGATTCAAGAATAAAAGATTTTGGTTCATACGAAAACCATCTCACAATTTATAATGATATATTAAAAGTGGAATCTAATAATGCAAAAGCATTATATGGTCGAGCTCTTATTTACTTTGCAATGGATCGTAATGAAGATTCTCTTGTGGATTTAAATGAATTATTGGAAATTGATTCAAACAACATTGACGCATTAATTATTCGTGGGAAAGTTTTATTAGCTTTAAATCAATATGAAAATGCCCTCACAAATTTAAATGATGTATTGAAAATTGATACGAATAATAAAGATGCATTATTAATCAGGGCTAATACCATTTTTATTTTATTGAATAATCAAAGTCAGTCAAACAACACAGATACGTTAAAAGTTTATCAATACGATCAAGCCCTTGCAGATTTAAATAAAGTATTGGAAATTGATAAGAATAATGTAGATGCTCTAATGATTCGAACAGAAATTAATATTATTCTAAATAATAACACTGATCAGGCTCTTTTAGACATGTGCAAATTATTGGAAATTGATCCAAACAACACGCAAGCATTCATAAATCGTGGAAGAATTTATATGTGCATTAAACTATTTGAAAAAGCAATAAATGATTTTAACAGAGTATTAGAAATTGTTCCAAATAATATGAATGCTTTACTTTTAATTATAGGCCTTCATATTAGCATGAAGCAATTCGATCTTGCCATAGTCAATTTGAACAATTTTTTAAGAGTCGAACCAAATAATGTATTTGTTTTAATTCTGCGAGGATTATTATATCCTTCTTTGAACCGTAATCAAGAATCAATTATGGATTTTAATAATGCATTAAAGATTGACCCTAATAATTCAGAAATATTCCTATTACGAGGAATTAGTTATTCTATTATGAATAAATTTGAAGATGCGATTTCTGATTTTAATGCAGCTTTGGAAATTGATCCAAATAACTCATTAATCTTGACTTCACGCGGAAGAGCAAACCATGCATTAAGAAATTATAAAAATGCACTTGAAGATTTTAATAAATCATTAGAAATCTTGCCTGATGATATTTTTACATTGAATTGTCGTGCAAGGACATTTCAGATCCTGAACCGATATAAAGAGTCTAAAAATGATTTTATTCATGCGTCCAAGTTGGAAAAAGAAGACACTTTATCTCATGATATTGAAAAATATACATCAAATTTTTTCGAAAGATCATTAATTAATTTTAACAGATCTTTGAAATCTAATCCTAATGATCGTATGACCTTAATATACCGAGGAGATACTTATCGCATATTGAATAATTATGAGGCGGCAATTTGCGATTTAAATAAAGCTTTATCAATAGAACCTAATGACATTCTTGCCTTAAGGGTCCGTGCTGATGTATTTCGGCAAATTGGTAAATATCATGAATCGCTTAACGATTTAAATAATGCGCTAAAAATCGATCCACTCGATGCGCCTACACTAAGACTTCGTGGTGAAGTTTATTATGCTCTCGATAATTATCATGAATCTCTTAAAGACTTTACTAAATCTTTAGAAATACAACCAAATAATAAGTTTGCGCTAAAACAATGCGTTGACATTTGTCATACACTAAAACAATATGAAAAATTGCTTGTAATATTAAACAAGTTATTGTACGATATAAAATATTCTATAGCTTCAGATTTATATGGATATATTCAACGCATGTCGAACAAAAATATTGAATCTCTTACAAATTTTATAAAACATTTGAAAGTAAATACTGCTAATTTGCCCATACTAACTACACGAGGAGATATTTATAATATTCTTGATCGTTATGATGATTCACTTGCAGATTTTAATGTAGTAATAGAACATGAGCCAAATAATTCGATTGTATTACTTCAACGCGGAGGAGTTTATTATTCTACCAATCGTTTCAATGAATCTCTTGTCGACTTAAATAAAGTTTTGGAGATGGATTCAAACAACGAATCTGCATTGAAGATGCGTGGAAATATTTATTTTATTATGGATAAATATGAAGATTCTCTAAATGATTTCAATAAACTTTTAGAAATTAATCCAAATGGCGAACTTAGTGTTTTTAGATTACGAGCTATGCTTAATTTATTTTTAGGTAATGATGAAAATGCGTTGGCTGATTGCAATAAAGCTTTAGAATTTAATCAGAATGATACTGAGACTTTAAGAATTAGTGGTAGAGTCAATTATTTAATGAAAAACTTTGAAAAATCTCTAGCAAGTTATAGCAAATTATTGCGTGATGAATTAAACAGTGATGATTTAAAAATTCGTGGTCAAGTTTATTATTTGATGGGCAAATTTGACGAGTCATTTTCTGACTTGAGCCGATCATTAGAATTAGATCCAACTGATTATAGTGTTTTGAATATTCGTGGAGTAGCCCTATATATGCTTGGTTGCTATGTTGAGGCTTTACATGATTTAAATGAGGCATTAAAATACAATCCTGATGATGCTAATTGTCATGGATATCGTGGTGCAACTTACTTGAAATGCAAAGAATATGAAAAAAGTCAAAAAGATTTGGATAAAGCAATCGAATTGGATCCTAGTGAACTTTATTTTCATTGGCAACGAGGTTCACTTTTTTACGCTAGAGAGGAATATGAAAAAGCAATGGAAGAGTTTACAACATTGAATGGATTTAAGCCAAAACTTGTGGTTGATAAACTTGAACAAGCTGAAGCGTTTTACAATCGCGGGCTTTTATATCAAAAACTGGGCAGAATTGAAAATGCAATATTGGATTTTGAAAAATCCTTTAATCTGGATCCTAGCAATGATGCTGCTAAATCCATTATGAAAAAACTTTCTGAAAATATTTAAATATAATAAACAACATGTTTTCTTGCTTATTCTTTTTATATTCTTAATTATTAAGCAAGTTTATTGTCAAAATATAATAAGACTTAATATTTTAAATAACTTAAATATACATTCGAAAGTTAAGAATTTTTGTAATAATTCACAGCATTATGTAATGACAATCTACCAATACAAAAGTTTTATCTGCAATTATTATTATTATTATTTTGATAAGTCTAAAATGCATTCTAAATTAATACAGTATTTTTAATAGAGATACTGTTGTAAAGTCGCAACTTTGCACTCGCAACCATTTTTACCGCAAAAAGGTTTAAGATCACAGAGTCACAAGGTCGAAAGAAATTAAAAGGCACAAGGATGCAAAATCACAAATCTTATGGTTGTGAAGTTATTGTGTTAAGTAAATTTAGAAATTGTATGTATTGATATACATATTATTACTTTCAGTTTAACCAAGCGTAACAAATTTCGCTCACAAGATAGATTACTTTTTATTAATATTACGATATTATATTATATTGAGACATTACATAATTATATATTACAACATTACGATATTATACGGGGTAAAATAATTACATATAAGGGCCCTATTTTAGAAAATTTTACTATATCTCATGATACATTGAATAAAATTTAATGATTTTTATACCATTCGTATTGTTTCATCAAGACGGATCGAATGGACTGAAATTGCTAAATTTAAATTACTGAATAACGAGATATCACGATTTAAACAGATTTTGGAAAATGTCGAATAGCTCGTAATCCAGTAATTTAAATTTTGCAATTTTAGTACCGTTCTATCCGTCTTGACGAGACGATTCGAATAGTATCAAATCCATTAAATTTTGTTCACTGTATCATGAGTAGAGATGGGCAACTGTGGCATCATGCCATGCATGCATGCAATCATTCATGAGCATGATGCGCACTTAAGTGCTCGTACTACATAAAATGATAATAATAGTGATAATCACCAAGTATATAAAATTGAACATTAGTAATCGTTAGAGAAAATATTTACGTACGTTCTGATGATAAATTTAAAATTCTGCGTTTAGAAGATAATGTTTTCTTGCAAGATCCTGAAGATTGAATTCTCACAAACCAAAAGTTAAAAGTATTGTTGGTATTTATTTAAACATTACGCCATACTTAAGATTCTTGAAATTTCTTACACAAAAAAAAAATAAAATAAAAGTATCGATTCAATTGACTTCTTCATACAAAAGTTGTCAAGGTAATTAATTATATTAAACTTTTTTTGCTTATCTATTTAACGTTTAGTTAGAATATATAATTGATGATTTAATTAATAGCTAAAATGCCATTACCCGATCCAATATGGGAGCACTTTAGTCAGCCGGGTCACGTGGTTGGGTATAAGCAAAAAAGACGGCAATGTAAAAAGTGTGGGGACCAAATTAACAATTCATTAAGACAAGCTCGCAAGCATTTTCGAAAATGTTCAAGAATTTCATTAATACAAAAAAAAAATTATTTTGGAGAATCTTACGAAGAAAGTGATGACGAAGTATCTGTAAGCACATCAACATCAGCTTCCTTATTAACATCTGCCGATTCTATTTCAAAAAAAGAACAAGAATCATTAGAATTAGCATTTGCAAAGTCTATATTTCGATGTGGTCTTTTTTTATCACTATCGGAAATGGAACCTATAAAGGATTTATGGAAAAAAGCCAAACCAGCTTTCAAACTTCCTAGTCAAAAAAAACTTTTGACAAAATTATTAGACATTATCTTTGAAGATACTAAATGTGAAGTTGAAGCCTTAATTGACAAAAGTGAAAACTTATGCCTTGTATCTGACGGATGGTCTGATTTAATACAGCAGCATAGGACTAATTACATTTTGACAACTCCCAAACCTGTTTTTTTCACTGTATATCCAACTGGTGAAATTCACCAAAATGATGAAACAATCGCCAAAGATCTTGAAAAAATAATTATTGAAGTTGGCCCATCTAAAATCTCAGCTCTAATTACGGATAATGCCTCCGTTATGAAGAAAGCATGGCGCATACTAGAACAAAAATATCCTAAAATGTTTTTTTTAGGTTGTGTAGCACATAGCTTAAATCTTCTAATCGGTGATATTTTAAAGATTTCTTGGTGTGCAAATATTTTAAAAAATGCTAAGGAAATTGTTCTATATTTCCGATCACATCAAATTCCAATGGCTATTTTACGTAGACACCAATCAGCAACATATGAACATCAAGTGTCTTTAAAGCTACCAGTTAAAACACGATGGGGATCTTCAGCAACATGCCTCAATTCATTATAACAAAATAAGCTTGCGCTTAAATTAACAATCACGGAAATGGTATACAACAATCATGAAACATTATCAGAATTAATCAATAAAACTATTAAGAATGAAAATTTTTGGAAAAATATCAGAAATCTTCTTCTAATATTAGATCGATTAATTGTTAGTATTTCGCTATTTGAGGCTGATACGCCACAATTGGCTTTATTTTATCTTTGGTATCATGAGCAGTTAGAATCGGATAGTAAATAATTTTATACTGTATATTAAAATTAATATTCAAATTGTATATTAAATTGTAATTACTTTATCTTTTAGAAATAAACAGTCAACTTAAAATTTTATTTGAAAATCGATGGAAAAAAATATTCTATCCAGTTATAGCATTCGCTCATCTTTTAGATCCACAAT